TCTCTCTCTCTTTTTTCTAACTATGTTACCTGGTGGAACAGGATTTAGCTTTTAATCAAATGAGAGAAGCAAAAGCTGCTGTGCTACAAGACTTACACTATGGTTAAATCAAACTAAATTATTATTAATTAAATTAAACGAATAAATTGAATTATGACATGTAGTACAATAATACTATAAATTAAATTATACTGTGAATCATGGTATAAATTACATTGGTATAAATAAGTAGTAATTCATGATAATACAAATGAAATTACAGTGCGTTCACCTCTGCTGTAATCATGAGTGTTCTGTCGAATTGTTTCAGATGTGCCTTTATATATGGTCGTGAAGGTCATTTGGAGAAATTTACCAGAGAGATGCAGGAGCGTCTGGTAAAGAATGTGATCGAGCCGATGGCGTGCGACGGTCTGCGTACGATCTGCGTCGCTTATCGCGACTTCGTCCCCGGCAAGGCAGAGATCAATCAGGTTCACATCGACAACGAGCCGAACTGGGAGGACGAGGAGAACGTGGTGAACAATCTCACGTGTTTGTGCATCGTCGGTATCGAGGACCCGGTGCGGCCGGAGGTGCCGGACGCGATTCGAAAGTGTCAGAAGGCAGGCATCACTGTGCGGATGGTGACCGGGGACAATATAAATACCGCGCGCTCGATCGCCCTGAAATGCGGGATACTGAAGCCGAACGAGGACTTCCTGATCTTGGAGGGCAAGGAGTTCAACAGGAGGATCCGCGACGCCAACGGCGAGATACAGCAACACCTGTTGGACAAAGTGTGGCCGAAGTTGAGGGTGTTGGCTAGATCGTCGCCGACAGACAAATACACGCTCGTGAAGGGCATAATCGATAGCAAGGCGAGCGTGAGCCGCGAGGTCGTCGCTGTAACCGGTGACGGAACGAACGACGGCCCGGCCTTGAAAAAGGCGGACGTCGGCTTTGCCATGGGCATCGCCGGCACCGACGTCGCCAAGGAAGCTTCCGATATCATTCTAACGGACGATAATTTCTCGTCGATCGTAAAGGCAGTTATGTGGGGTAGAAACGTCTACGATAGTATAGCGAAGTTCTTGCAGTTTCAATTGACCGTCAATATCGTCGCTGTTATAGTTGCTTTTATCGGGGCATGTGCTGTGCAAGATTCCCCCCTTAAAGCGGTGCAGATGTTGTGGGTGAACTTAATCATGGACACGTTAGCGTCCCTCGCATTGGCCACCGAAATGCCTACGCCTGACCTTCTTCTTCGTAAACCGTACGGTCGCACGAAGCCGCTCATCTCCAGGACTATGATGAAGAACATTCTCGGCCAGGCTCTCTATCAGTTGTCTGTAATTTTTATGCTTCTTTTCGTTGGTAAATATTTCCTTATTTTTTGCTAAATATTTCGGAGGGCCTTCGGAAGCCTCCCTCCCCCCCCTTTCTCTCTCTCTCTTTGATTTGTACTTTTAAATTTTTTCCCACGAGTAAAGAATTCAAGTCATTTGTTTCTTCCATTTTGAAAATGTTACATTCTAATCACGTACGTTCGTAATGTCTGTACTTTGTTAGAAAAAAATTGTGAAAAGTATTTCAATTTTGGCTTCCGAGGGCGCGGCTCCTCGTGTGTTCCTTACATATCATCTTGAATCCAAAAGAAGAGAAAATTGTACGTGTGAAAAGTTCGATATATATATATA